GTGGAGGAGCACCCCAAAGGGGCACAGCTTAAGGCTGTATAACAGCTTTTCACTGCTTTTGCTATTGTTTATTGCCTTTGTTTTCTTAAGGCACCTACTTGGCTCCATTCCTCCAAAGACTTTTACCTTCTCAGGGCTTTTCTCTCAATTTTTCATTTTTCCCCCGTCTTCAGTCATCCATTGTGTACAAACAAAGCCTTACTTTAACCAGAAATAGTTTGTGTCTTGCCTCTGCTTTATCTGTATGAATGACTAGATTTATTTATTTATGGGGGGGTAGAATGTTTAAGACAGGATCTTGTGTAGTATTAGTTTGTCCTTGAGCTCACTATATAGCCTAGGCTGGCCTTGAACTCACAGCAATCCTCCTGTCTCAGCCTCCTGAATGCTAGGATTACAGGCCTGCACCACCACATCTGGCTAGATTTACTTTTAAAGCATGAAGTCACATTTGTTTCTCTACCCAAGTGCTGAGTATAGGTCTGAGTCAGAAGACCCTCAGCCTCCACCAGACTGAGGGTATCTGCTGTCCTTGCCGAGGGCTGGCAAGAGGCATTTTGAGATTGGCTCAAGACTGTGTCTCACTGAGCATGTTTTGAAACATAGTACAACCACAGAGATTATATCACAGTTGTATTCGTATTCCACAGTTGTACAGTATTTTTCTTGGAAAAGGGGGTGTTTTTCTTTCTCTTCATCTGTGATTGCTGTTGATGTGAAAGGACCTCAGAGATGAGGGACCATAACTACCGTGTATGTCCTGGAGTTCTCCTGGGCTTGGGCACTCTGCCTTTTTCACCTTCTACTATTGCTTGATGAACTTTGACCCAGCAGGTTGCTTCCTTTGGCATTGTTATTTCTCATCACCTGCTTTCTCTTCAGGTGTGCAGTTTTTCACTGTTTCTTTTTTTCCCTCCTTTCCTTACAGTCAGTGGTTTGATGGAGAAGGAGGTGCAGTGCTACTTTTGTAAACTCACCTGGATGGAACTTGAGTTTTTGTTACCATTGCGCTGCAATTTGAGGTTAGAAACACATTTGGTTTTAGGAAGGCAAGCCAAGTGGTTTACAGAGGTGTAACTGGGTGTAGCTTGTTAAACCTGTTTACCTCAGAAAAGATTTTTTGTTTCTTGAATGTGTGAGAAAACTTACATCTTTTGTTTTCTCTCTCTCTCGCTAACTGGTTCTGATTTTCACGGATAAAGTTTCAGTCACAAAAAGCACACCATGTAAACAGTGCAGTGTCTTACCAGTAATTTAAGACTTTTTATTGTTTGGCATTGTGTTTATTTTATTGATTTTAATCCCATCAGAACATAAATTCATGTTAGCAGTTGGGAGTCTGGTGTAATCTCCACTTTTGGTTGTTTTGCTGTCCTTTTTCTACATAGCCAGTGAAGTTCTTTGCTGAATAGCTAGAGAACAGTTCTTATTAATTAAAGTCTGTGTGCTGTGATTCTACTAGACTGTAAAGACCATGTGGATGAGGACTTTGATCTCCCCTCCCGCGCACTGGACTCAGAATAGTTCCTGGTACAGAGTAGGCACCCAATTAATTTCTTAAGTGTATAAAACCCATTTTAGAATTGAGAGTGGAAATGAAGGCATTTGATAACTAATGCTAGTATGTGAGCCACCAGTTCTCTTTCATTCCTCTCAGTCATTTGCAGTGTGACTTTAAGAAAGGGTGGCTGAACCTAGGATAAACAGGGTGAATTTTACATAGTGCTGCTGGGTGATCTCATAAGATCCCACAAGGGCAGGTCTGGGCCTGGTCAATAATTGGGTGGGAAGCCTCAGAGCAGAAACCAGCACATGACAGGATGTGGTGTGGGGAACCTGCCTGGCCTTCAAGTTAGGGCACAGCCAGTGCCTGCCCACACAGCACCAGCCACACAAGGGGTCCTCATAGAACCTCCCAGCATACCTTCTTCAGTTGGCTGAGGCCAAAGACTTGATACTTTTGTTTTTGCTTGACACAGGAGTTTTCTGTCTTCTAATTGGTCATCTTGAGGAATAATTTTAATTTAGAGTCTATCCTCTCCTCTTTTTCCTCCTCTTCTTCACCTCATCATCCCCCCTCTTTTTTTAACCAGCTGGGTAAGCATTTGGTTACAAACAGAAATGATCACTTATTAGTGATATTCACTGTTGCCCCCGATGTGACCTTTCTATAAATTTTAGAGTTAAAACCTTTAATTTCTGAACATTAAAGAGCAGTGTTTCATCTGGCTAATTTATTTCCTTTGTTATTGAGGCCACTTTACCACTGAGGTTACTGCTTCATCTTGCAATTAAAGTTCTTCCTGAGTGTGTGAATAGACACAGCTTTTTCATCTAGAACAACCCTGCATGTGTAGACTTTCATACATAGATTACATAGATTTAGATTTAGATTTAGTTTATGGGAATTGTGGCATTTCAGTTTAGGGGAGATCACATAAGAATCTGTCTTGTACATTTTTTAAAGAAATGTATAATAATTAACAATGTGAAATAGGAAGAAAAGGGCTAAAGGTGTAGGGAAAGTGGGAAGGGTAGGGGAAGGGGAATAAGGGAAAAGAAAAAAATGTGAGAAAATGACAAAATGGAATTAAAGTGTTTGTAAATGGGGAGGGAAGGAGGGGGTGAAGGGAGGGTAAGGACAAGGGGAAAAAATGAGAACCAAGACCTGTCATGTAAAGGTACAAGATCCCAGTAATGTATGTAACTGTACTGTATACCTAGAATGTACCAATAAACTCAATTTTAAAAATTTAAAAAATAAATATATAGATAAGCTTACAGGAAATAATAGTAGTTTAAAGTATCAGGTGAATTGCATAGCATGTTATGGTAATTTACTTTCAAATTTGAAGTTTATGATAGTTATTTAAAATTTTTTAATTTAAAAATTTTAAATTTTAGTTTTTAAAGTAGAGGTAGCTGGGTGTGGTAATGCATACCTGTGGTAATACACTTTGGAGGCTGAGGCAGGAGGATTGCCTTAGTTCAAGGCCAGTCTCAACTACACAGCAAGACCCTGTCTAAAAAAAAAAAAGTGATAATGTTTAGAGAATTGTAGGATTTTTAAATTTTTTTTTTTCCTGGTCAGCTCATGTAAGTATATGCATGTACATACAGTATTTCACATTTTACCCCTGCTTGCCACCCAAAGTTTCATAAACTACCCCAAAATGGGTATTTAAAAAATTATTTTGCCTATGTAGAATTGAAGAATATTAAAATGAAGAATCCCCAAAGGGAATGGAAGTTGTGGAGTTGTTGTGACTCAGCATACAACCCACAGGAGGCTGAGATCAAAGTCATAGAAATGCACCTTAGCTGTCAGTGGGTTCAGGAATTAATTAGGTACTGCTGAGGGGTGGGGGTGGGGATGTGTGTCTTCTCCAGTGGCCTCTTTGCCAAGCAGCTGTATTTCCAGCCTCCAGCCAGGTGCTCTGTGTCTGTATACTGAACATGTGATCCGTATAGTGCCTTCTTTCCCCTTTCTTCACTCCTGATTGTGTTCTCTATTTCATTTAGTAAGCTCCACTATCCCAGCTGTTATGAACTTTGACCTCTCCTAGTATATCACTTCAACTCTTTCTCTGAAGTGATTTCTTTAGCACTCTTTGACTATTGAACTATTTTAGAATAATAAAGTGTGGGCTGGAAATGGATCAGCACTTATCAGTGTACTGAATTACTTTTGGTACATTAAAATGTTATATTAACTTAATTTGTGAAGGCATTTCATCAGTGGGGTTGGGAATAGTAACAAGTCAGACACAGACTGCTAGCATGGAGAAGCCTTGCTGAATGGGTTTGGATGAATTTGTCCGAATTCATCGTTATTCCAGGAATATATATTTAGAACATAGTTCCCACTGCTAATAGGTCTACTGACTTATCTTTATGTAGGAGGAGACATGTGCTATCTCTGTATAGACACACTCACACTTGTATTTAGTTACAAGGATACTTTAGATAATCGCCAGTCTTTATAAGTAAAACTACATTTTTTTATGATTATACTTTTTATTTTATCATTCATAGAAAAGAGGCTTAAGCTTTCCATTTTGACCATTTTTTCATTTTTCTGACTCACTGAAAGAAACTCCAAGTAGTTTGTTCATCTTTTGTGTGTATTATTGTGATGAATTTTAAGATAGTATTAGTAAAAATTGTTCACATTTTAATTTGTTATTTAATTTTCCTAACTTACTATTAGGTCATTTACTACACTCTAAAACTTTGCCCTTTGCTAAAATATGCCATTAGTGACCCATGTCATAGATATGTTTGTGTTTATATACATGGCTGAAGAAATATTTCTGTATTTCTTGTTCTGCTTATTCTGAAATGAGAACAAACATCCCTAGTTACTTATTTAGCTTGGAATAATGTGTCCTTTCCTACACTTTAGCTAGCTTCCTGCCCTTCTCTCACTTTTTTTTTTGTTCCTCCTCCCTTATTACTTTGTTTCCTCTTTTGGGAGCAGAATGTATGCTTTAAGTAGCTTTTACACTTTCCCATTTTTAATTTACTATATTTTAAATATTTTTAATTAACAATTTATACATATGGAACAAATTCAAATGAGAGTAGCAGCTAAGGTGAAGAATAGTCTTATTTTACCCAGAAATAATCATAGTTAAGTTTCTTGTGTAGAAACCTGTATAAAAGAGCACTTGTATGGGTCTCCCTCTTATTTTTTGCACTCAAAAGGGCTATGTATGCAGTTTTTTTTTTTTTGTATTTTTATCAATACTAATGGATCTACCCTGTCCTTTTTTAGTAGTTGCAAATTATTTTCCAATGTGACTACTATAAGGACCCATTGATTTTATTTTTGGAACTATAATGCTTTTATTACCAGAAAATTTGAAACACTGATCCTTTTGTAATTCTGTAATACCGCAAAATTTCAAAACACCCATTTAGAACAAATGTGATTCTGTTGCTGAAGAACCACTTGATTAATGGATGTTTCTAGCTTGTTTGTTTTTTCTCCCTAAACTCCATTACTCCTCCTTCATAATACAGACTGGGTGTCAGGCCTGTGCTGAGATAGATTGAGGGTAGAGTCAGTGCATTTCCTCTTTCTGTATAGAATAGTCAGTGTAATAATAAAGTCCATCATAAACACCAGGAAGACCTGGTTTTTCTTGCTTTTACAAAACTATCCTAAGATGTGCCTCTGTATATAATTGAATCAATAGGGAAAAAAAAATGGAGCTGGGGATTTGGCTCAGTGGTGCCACCGCCTGCCTTGCAAGTACAAGGTCCCGAGTTTGATCCCTGTTACCCCCCCCCAAATAGATCCTATACATGGAATTGATAGGTTCAAAGTATTTACATTTAAAGGATGGGGGGGGTTGACAGAAGATCTCACTACGTAGCCCAGGCTGGCCTTGAACTTGTGGTAATCCTCTTGCCTCAATTTCTCTTGTGCTGGAATTACAGGTGTGCACCCATTTTAAATTCTGATACACGTTGCTATTAGTCCCCTAGTATGATCAGCTGATTGGCTCTTTTCCTCCAGAGCCATTCAGATTGTTCTGTCCTGCAGTGGTGTTCCCGGGAAGACTGAGCATCTTGTGTCACCTTTCCTTTGAATGCCTCTTTGGATCATTTGCCCCTAGAGTTGCTTTCCTTTTCTTACTGATTCATGATTTTGTTAATGTTAAAGAAAATTGGGTGATTTTTAATCATAGCAATTTTTTAAAACTTTGTTTCTTCCTTTTGCTAGTTTGCTTCTCTCTTGATTGTTTCCATTTGGGGAAAGTTTTTTGTACAAATTTAAAATTTTTATGTAGTCTAGTTTGTGCACTTTGGGTTCTATGTTATACTGGAAAGGCTTTTTGTTACAGCTTAGAATAATTTTTTAAGTGCATTCATACTTTGTTTTAGCTCTTTGTAAAGTGATTTTGAGTTTTTGATTCTTTGCGAGTTTGTTTTGGTATAAATAGTGAGAAAGGAGTCTATCATTTTTCTCTCCAGATAGGTAGACATTTGTTTCCAAATAGGTTTCTTTGGTTCGTTTATATTTTCAACACTTTTTATATGTCTTATTTGTGTTTGGGTCTGTTTCTGGGTTCTCAGTTCTGTTTAATTGGATTGTGCATCCTGGTGTTGGTACCAAGCAATTTCCTTGTAGAATAATTGCCCTTCGTTTTTCTATTTTAGGATTTTCCTTGAAAAAAAAAATTATATGTAGAGAATCACCATGTAGATAGATAGGACTCCCCCCCACCCCAGATAGGAGCCTGGAAGAGAAAGGGACTGTGCATGGCTTTGTAGACCACAGCCAGGAATACCCCAGGAAGTCATTTATGGAATGTGAAGAGTATAATGATCTGATTTACAGTGAAAGGTTTTTCTGATTGTGGTATGAAGGATGGATCAAGGGATATGTAGAGAATCACCATGTAGATAGATAGGACTCCCCCCCACCCCAGATAGGAGCCTGGAAGAGAAAGGGACTGTGCATGGCTTTGTAGACCACAGCCAGGAATACCCCAGGAAGTCATTTATGGAATGTGAAGAGTATAATGATCTGATTTACAGTGAAAGGTTTTTCTGATTGTGGTATGAAGGATGGATCAAGGGACAGATAGAGTAGAAGCAGAATCAGGGTTGGAGGTATTACTGTCATGGTGCTGGGTGGTAGGCAGGATGCAGAGAATAGTTACCTCTGAGTGAGAAGAGGTAGAGCTTATTGATGAATTTATGAGCTGTCGATTTCTGACTTGAACAACTGGGTGGAATGTGAGGTTACTTACTAATATAGAGCAGAATGGGGCAAACACTTAATTTTGGGGAGTATATTAAGAATTTAAGAGCCGGGCGTGGTGGTGCATGCCTGTAATCCCAACACTCAGGAGGCTGAGGCAGGAGGATCGCTGTGAGTTCAAGACCAGCCTGGACTACATAGTGAGTTCCAGGTCAATCTCAACTACGTAGTGAGACCCTGTCTCAAAAAACAAAAAACAAAAAACACACACAAAAAAAGAATTTAATTTTGAACTTCTTGAATTATTTGTCAGTATGTAGAATTGCACCATTTGAGAGCAGATTAAAAACTAAAAAGTAGAAAATATACATATATATTTGCAATAACTTTTTATTAATTTTCTCTATGTTAATATTTCCCTTCAAATCCACTTTTATGTACCCTTCGGAACAGTCTTAAATACCTTCTGAGTTTGTCCTCCTGACCTAAGCAGAAATGATCAGAAGCTTTCTTCAGAGGATATCTAATTCTTCAACTGAGATCCTCCACAGCTTGTCCCTTACCCAACCTAGAGATTATGCTCTTTGTATTATTTATTATTGTCTCTTGCTTCCCAATATGAACTCTAATATGTCTTTGTGTCACAAATATCCATTGTCCCTTTTTGTGCTATCTTTTCTCCTTCTCTATCTTCATCTAAGAATCTTTAGTTTTTTGAGGACTTTTTTGTGTGTGTCACCTCTTTCTCTGCTTTTGCTGGTCTCTGATCAGCCAAAAATATGAGTTCCATTCTGTCCTTGTGGAGTACTTCATGTGAGTCATGCATATATTATCTTCTTTATTTTATTTCAAGCACTTAATGGTTGGTATCTTATTAAATTTTCTGTCATGCATAACACCAGTATACACATGGTGAATACATTTGTATACTGAATACATGTATTTGTTTGAGGGAGTATTTTATCTATTTGGAGACATTTAAGCAGATAGCTAGCCTGCTTGTTTTAAGAGAAAGTTATTGAAACAATACTGTATTTACTGACTAATTTAAAATACAGCTGAAAGATGAACTGAGCCTCAGTGCAGCCCAAGGAAACTCACTAACTAGCAAGATCTAATGAAGCCATCTAGAGAATTATCATTAGTGTGATTTAGCTTCTACTTTTCATATCTATATCCCTCAATTGAAAATATGGAGGAAAAGAATTTGATTGACTCAGCTTTGGTCAGTTATGTACCTTAGGTAAAGCAGAGTAGCTCCTTAGCTGCATAAATTAGGAGGCCTCTGTGGACACCTTGAGGTAGAAAAGTATCTCTCCATGGATTGCATGGTTGGTTCTGGTAAATTGTAAGCAATGATCAAGGAGAGATAGGTTGTCCTGGTAAAGAGTACTGGATGGTTTCAAACGAACTACTCCATGCTTGTATCTTAGTCCTGTCAGTTGTGTTATGTCATTACTAATTTATTTATTTTATTTTATTGTTTGGTTTTTTGAGACAGGTTCTCACTATGTATTTGAAACTGACCTGGAACTCATTATGTAGCCCAGGCTGGTCTCAAACTCACAGCAATCCTCCTGCCTCAGCCTCCCTAGTGCTGGGATTATAGACTAGTACCACCATGCCTGGCCTATGTCATTACTAATTTAGAAGATTACTCATTCTGAAATTCCTTTGGTCAGGAAAAAAATAATTCTATTAGTAATAATTGTATTATAAATATTAGCAGACTGTGATGAGCTATATAGTTATTTTTTGTTCTGTGAACACAATAGGACTCTATTAAAGATTCTATTTTTCTCTATGATTTATATAAGTAGACTTTGAATATGAAGAAAATAATCTATGAAAACTTTAAGAGCATCCAGTTGGTTAGCTTTTTTGAAAGTAGTGGGAAAAATATGTTTAAGAATTCAGAGGATCATCAAGAAGATCATACATCCTGACCAAGTCAGATTTATTCCAGGGATGCAAGGATGATACAACATACGTAAGTCAATAAATGTAACACACTATATTAACAAAGTCAAGGACAAAAATCATATAATTCTCTCGATAGATGCAGAAAAAGCATTTTGACAAAATTCAACACCCATTCATGATAAAAACCCTGCAAAAAATTGGAATAGATGGTCTGTATCTCAATTTAATAAAGGCTATCTATGAAAAACCAACAGCCAACATCATATTAAATGGCCAAAAACTGAAAACCTTCATGTTAAAATCCGGAACAAGACAAGGATGCCCACTATCACCACTCCTTTTCGATATAGTTCTGGAAACATTAGCCACAGCAATTAGACAAGAGAAAGAAATTAAAGCAATAAAGATAGGAAAGGAAGAAGTTAAACTATCATTATTTGCTGATGATATGATACTCTACATTGAAGACCTAAAAAACTCCACCAAAAGACTTCTTGACTTAATTGACAATTTTAGCAGAGTAGCAGGATACAGGGTCAACACCCAAAAATCAGTAGCCTTCTTGTATACAAATAACAGACTCACTGAGCGAGAAATTAGGGAAACAATTCCTTTCACAATACCACCCCCCAAAAAAGAAGTATCTGGGAATCAATCTAACAAAAGAATCAAAAGACCTCTACACTGAAAACTACAGCACTCTGAAAAAAGAGATCAAAGAGGATATAAGAAAATGGAAAGATATCCCCTGCTCCTGGGTAGGAAGAATCAACATAGTGAAAATGGCCATACTACCAAAACTATGCAGATTCAGTGCAATGCCAATTGAAATTCCAACACTATACTTCACAGAACTCGAAAGAAGAATCCAAAAATTCATTTGGAACCATAAGAGACCTAGAATAGCAAAAGTCACCCTAGGCAACAGACACATGGCAGCGGGTATAACAATTCCCAATCTGAAGCTATACTATAAAGCCACTGTGATAAAAACAGCATGGTACTGGCAATGAAACAGACCTGAGGATCAGTGGGACAGACTGGAAGACACAAAAACAACTCCAGATGTACTCAGCTATGTCATCTTTGACAAAGGAGCTGACCATCCCCACTGGAGGAAAGATAGCCTCTTTAATCAATGGTGTTGGAAAAACTGGATCTCAACCTGCCAAAGATTAAAACTAGACCCTTATCTTTCACCATGCACTAAACTAAAATCAAAGTGGGTTAAAGATCTAAATATTAAAAAAGAAACACTAAACTTGCTGGAAGATAAGTTAGAACTCTTGAAGACATTGGCATAGGAAAAGACTTTATGAACAAATCCTCAGTAGCGCAGGAACTAGCAGAAAGAATCAACAACTGGGATCTCATCTTATTAAAAAGCTTCTGCACTGCAAAAGAAACCATCAGCAGAACCAAGAGACAGCCTACAGTGTGGGAAAAATTTTTACCAGCTGTTCCTCAGACAAAGGACTATTATCTAGAATACATAAAGAACTCAAAACAATTAGCCCCCCCAAATATAAAGACCCAATTCAAAAATGGGCATCTGAAATAAATGGACATTTCTCAGACAAAGAAGTAAAAGCAGCAAGTAAATATATGAAAAAATGTTCCACATCAGTGGTCATTCGAGAGATGCAGATGAAAACAACACTGAGATTCCACCTCACCCCACAAAGAATGGCTGCTATCAAGAAATCAACCAATAACAAATGTTGGCGGGGTTGTGGAGAGAAAGGAACCCTTCTTCATTGTTGGTGGGAGTGCAGACTGGTGCAACCACTATGGAAATCAATATAGAGATACCTCAGAGAGCTGGGACTAGAGGTTCCATTTGACCCAGCCATCCCTTTGCTGGGTATCTTTCCAAAAGAATTAAAAGAATCATACCACAGTGATACATGCACACCAATGTTTATAGCGGCACAGTTTGTAATAGCTTAAACTTGGATACAGCCCATTTGCCCATCTGTTGGAAACTGTATAAGGAAGCTGTTTTTCTATAAAATGGAATACTACTCAGCCATAAAGAATGAGAAATTAGAGTCATTCATAGGAAAATAGATACATATTGAGGATATACTCTTAAGTGAAATAAATAAGTCACACGTGTGAATACCAAATAGTTACTCTGGTGTGAAAAACTATAATAGTACACAAGATCCTAATGGGATAATTAGTAGTGTAAATAGGAAGAAAAGGGCTAAAGGTGTAGGGAAAGTGGGAAGGGTAGGGGAAAGGGAATAAGAGAAAAAAATGAGAAAACAAGAAAATGGAAATAAAGTGTTTGTAAATTGGGAGGGGAGGAGGGGATGAAGGGAGGACAGGGACAAGGGGAAGAAATGAGAACCAAGACCTGTCATGTGAAGGTACAGGATCTCAGTAATGAATTGTAACTGTATTATATACCTAGATTGTACCAATAAACTTAATAAAAAGAAAAAAAATGACTATGAGACATATACATGTTTTGCCTGGCTGATTTAGATAGTGTTTGTTTTTTGTGTGTGTGGTAGTGAGGTCCCGAAGATCAAACTGGGGTCCTTCTGCTTGTGAGGCAGGCAGTGGAACCACTGAGCTAAATCTCTGGCCAGACAGTATCTTTTTGATTATCTGCTAAAGACGTTATTTATTGTGTTCCTCAGTGACCTTTATGTGGAAGTTTTCTTTGAAATAAAAAAATACAGAAAAACGAATATAAAGCTTAAAAATATAGAATGTAAAGCTAAAATGTATGTTTAAACTACCGTGGGACTAAAAAGAATGACTAATATTTACAAAGTACTTACTCTGTTATATATTACACCTCCGATTTGAAAATGATGAAACAAAGGCATGGAGAAGCTAAATCACTTGCCTGATGTTGCCAGATAGTAATGGGTAAGGCCAAGGCTGGGACAGTGTCAGGATCAAAGGCCAATTTTATTGGGGAAGACAGTCTAGGCTACTTACTGTCTCAAGTGATTTTTCTTCACCATTCTTACTTCTATTGTGTGCACATTTTGGAAAGGAATTGTGTGTAAGTTTCTTTGTAGTTTTAGTTGGTGTCTCATCCCCAGTTTTTAAATTGACTGTAGTATACAAGAGCAAGAATGAGCTTGAAGATTTCTTTGTATTAATTATATGAGCTAAGATAGTATGTGAGAATTTCCCATTCAGTATATTTTTTATGTAACATCTGGGAAGTAGCTAATAGCTTCTTCTCATTGGTGACAGTCTAAACTATATGTGCCTAAAATTGATTGTCATATATTTTCGTTCACCTCCCATTTATTTATTTTTTTAAAAAGGTCTTAACTGAAGGAAAGGAATAAATGGAAACAAAGTTTTTGTAAATAGAGAGGGGTGGAGAGGTTGATGAGAGGGCAGGGGAATGGGGAAAAAAATAAGAACCAAGATATGTCATGTAAAGGTACTAGCTCCCAATGATGAATGTAATTGTATTGTATACCTAAAATGTACTAATAAACTTAAAACAAAGGACTTAACTATGTAATCCTTAGAAAAGGCCAAATGTGGTAAGCTTTTACATAGATGATCAATTGATGAAAACTCTAATGTTGCCCTCAACAGCAGTGTGCACAGACACCCAGGTACCCACATAGTAGTCCTTGTATCCTCTTCATTGTCATCACCCAAGTGCTTGCTCTGTGAACAGAAATACAGCCAGTAGTAACCCATCCAACTAGATGAAGCTTCCTCTGAGGGAGTTCATACTTGTATTATTAATTGATTGGGACCAGAATACCTGTTCAAGTAAAGGTGTGTTTACTTTTAGTAAATTTACAATTTTGTGTAAGTACTAAAGTATATGAGGCTGCTAATGTATTAGAAAATTAGAATATCAGAGGATAAATTATTGCTGACTAGTGTACAACATGGGACTCACCTGTAAAATCCAGCGATAGGAAGATAAAATCCTTTCATGCATAATTTAGTAGCATGACTAGGCAAAGACAGAAAACATCAGAAAGTAGTTTTTTGATTCTTCTCTGCAGGATTGGCCATGTGGATGTGATTCCCATCTCATGATGTAGTTGAAGTTTAGAAATTTGAGTAGGAGAAAGAAAACATTTTAGGAACTATTAGGAGATAGCGAGTCATATTCTTAAATAGTTCTTGTTCATATTAGCAGTTTTTAACTAGACTCCGAAAACTGTTATATTGGAATTCTGCTTGAAAATTCAAAAATTTTCAACTTTACTCTTAGAGATGCCTTTGGTAAACTTAAGTGGTTTACAGTAGAAGAGGCAGTTTTAAAATATTTGGTTTATAACAAATACTGATTATCATTTATGTCCACATTATGTTTTAAAATCCAAAAATACTTTTTCCTAATTAAGAGTCAGATGATTACTATTAGCCTTTTAGATAGTGTTATTAGTTTGGTTTTAGAGATTACTTATACCTGTGACAACTGTCTTAATTTCCCAAAGGAAGGTAGAAATATATTTATACTGATTTCATTGAGCTCGGTAAGATAATATCTGACTTACAATTGGTTAAACCTCTCGTCTTTGTTCTTGGTTACTGTTGGATTTTGTGTCAAAACAAATCCAAGCTACATGTACTGTAATTAAGAAGCTATTTTAAGAAGTTTAATCATAATGAAATAGATTAGTAGGCCTGCATACATATGGGCTTGAAGAAAAAAAATTTAATTGTATTTCTCTTAATTTTTCCAGAAAATTTCTACAGAAATTTTGGAGTATTCATCCCATAGTGAGAAAGAAGACGACTCAGAGGATGTCCTATTCATTGATTCAGAATCCCCTCCCAAGTACCACATGGAATTTGAACTGGATACAAGGCAGATGATGGACAGACTGGTCAACCCACAGGTGAACTCAACAGAGCCCATTTTGTGTACACCCCAGAAACAGACAGCCAAGCTTCCTAGGACTCCAGAAGATTCAGCAAAGAAGAAGAAACTTTTAAGGTTAAATTATATGTTTTAAAGTACTTTTTTCTGTCTTCTTAAGAAACCCAAATATCTGAAATGTTTATTTAAAAACACTTGTTTACTTGGGAAAGAAAATTGAAAGAATTACAATTCTCTAATGTTGATAAGCAATTATTGAAGTGTTAAGTCCTGGAGCTGATTCTTGAAATTGTTTAGTTGAGTTTGGTGTTCATGGATTTTGTGAATATGACTGCTTTTGCTTGACAGAGATTTGTTGTGTGACTTATCAAATCTTACTGTAGAAGAGTATTCAGGTTCTGTGTTAGACAATAGACAAGTGGATCACTGTTCTCTTCTTTAGTAATTTATAATCTAAAGAGAGAAATAGAAATAAATATCAATCATATCACGTTACTTTTATGAGTATGGTGAGAGTGATTAGCGAGGGCAATACTTGCAAATGCAAGAGTGAGAGCCAGGTTTCAGAGGGACAAGAAACAGCTGATGTGGCTGTGGAGAACCACAGTGGAGGAATATTCCTGTCTTTACAGTAGCAGGCAGGCCAAGCAGGATGCGTTGAAGAGCTTGAAAGGACCTGTCCCTACCCTATATCATACAAAGTGTCTTTTGTTTGTTGAGTAAGAGCAAAACAAGCAAACAAACACACAAAAAACATAAAAAAACTAATGAAAGTGAGAAAGAACTATGTGACAAGCCTTTATGTTGAAAAAAGCCCATGGCTGAAGGAATCTGTGAAGAGAGAAATAGGAGTGGGTGCCATGACTCCTGTGCTAGGATTGAGGGTTACCTGCTAGTGGCCTGAGAGGGATGCAGCCTCAGAGAAGTTGCAGAGATTAGGAGAGATAGTATCTGAGACAATGAGGCAGGCCAGTAGAGGCACAGGGTACGGTAATGGTCTGTCAGCTCCTGGAGCGGAAGTGGGGGAGGCAGATCAGGAAGGGACAGGCCTGTCCTTAGGATAACAATTTATAGGGATGTGATAGAGTCTAGTGAGATGAGAGTAACAGGTGAGAAAGTTCATGTCTACTCTCCATATCTTGTTCTCATAAAATAAGACACAAGGCTGTATGTAATATGTGTTGTAGAAAAACCCAGTCCTGGTATATGAGAACTGGTCTCAGTATACCATAAGATCAGAGAAATAGACAGATCCCAAATTTCATAAAGTATAATTTATTGGGTACTTATTGAAAGAAGAGTGGTCTTGAGTAGCAGTATAATCTGTGGATCCCATAATTTAGGTTAGAGCAAGGAGGGGTTATAAAGTGATCAGATCAAAAGTGACTTATCCAAGCCAGACTGTACTTGATTTATCTTAAGCAAATATCAAAGATGTTGTCACATCCATTCCTGGTGCTGAGGTCTCCCAGGGTCCCCCTTTCTCCCTTTTCCCCATCCTCATCCTCTTTCCTAATAGTTTCTCTTCTACTTTTAGGTCTAATTTATTTAGTTAGTTTTCACATATGAGGTAGAACATCTGATACTTGTCTTTCTGTGTCTGACTTATAGAAATAGGTTGTTGCCGGGCATGGTGGTGGCGCACCCCTGAAATCCTAGCACTCGGGAGGCTGAGGCAGGAGGATCGCTGTGAGTTTGAGACCAGTCTGGGCTACATAGTGAGTTCCAGGTCAGTCTCCACTACATAGTGAGACCCTGTCTCAAAAATCCAAAAAAAAAAAGAAAAGAAATAGGGTTGTTCATTAGAGCATATGGTGTTTCCATTTCTAAATTGAGGTACATTGACCAGAATTCCATGCAGGAATTCTGTGGGCCTATTTGGAGCAGAAGGAAAGCAGGTGACCTGTGAGGCACCCTCACCATCCTTAGTTCCTATCTCAGCTAGATTCACAGATTTTTATGTGAAGACTCAGACCCTCCCATGTGTCCACAAGTTCTTTGTGTATGTTCACTTTTACTTTTACATTTCATGCTATAGTTCCTACAGTTGTTTTTATGGGGGTCTAGTTTGGACTTTAACCAGTTACTTTTAAATTCTACTTTGTCTTCCCTTTTCCTGTGTAAAGTCATAGTACTGAGAACCAGGATTGGCAATGAATTATCTAGTCTGTAAGAATGCATTGTTTTGCCTTTTTCTTTTATTTATATTACAAATATAATTTAAAATATTATACTTCGAGAAATAGTAGGTGTATGATAAACACTGAGAACATGAACTGTGGAGCCAGGCCATTTGATCATGCAACTGGCTATGCCACTCATTAGGTAGCTAATATTGGGCTATGTCTGATGTCTCAGTGGAGGTTCCTTTGAACATTATTATGGGAGATTTTTTTAGAGTTTTGTGTTCTTTATGCTGTTCATACACAAACACATTCAGAAATAATTACATATAGGAAAACAGTAGGTTGTGTTAATAAGATATATAACATGTATTATGTATAATGATAAGTATGATAATTTTAATCATAGTATAAAAAGTATAAAGTTTATCTAAAAGCCATAACAAGGATGGTAACACTAATGATGGACATTTCTTGAAGGTTTAATAAATGAAGGCACTATACAAAGTCCTGTTGGGTTTTAACAACTGATTCTTCATCTAAGCTAGTTTTATAGTAGTGGAGATGTCCTTTTACCTCTTGTCTCTGATTTTATCATTTATGATATAAATATTGATATTTGTCTTTCTACCTAGAGAGGCTATTATTTGAATAAAATGATATAATGCAGTGAAATGATTAATGAACTAATAAATAATCTATGAAATAATACATTGAAAATATGTATCATGATGATTAACAACTGATTGTTTTCTCTTGAGATTATAGTTATGATAGGAGCTGCTGACTTCTCCCTGTCTCTCTCTCTGTCTATATATGTGTGTGTTTGTGTATGTGTGTGTGTATACTTATATAATTTTATAACAATGAATATATATATTCATCAATGAGTATGCATATTCATTGATAAGGGCTCTTATGAAGTACCTATATGTGAATTGTTACAAAATTTCTTCCTACTCTCCATAGAAGTTGCTTTTTTGTATAATATTGCAATCCTGCCTCCTGCCTTGCAAGCACAAGGACCAGTTTGATCCCTGGTACCCCCCGCAAAAAAATATATGTATGTATGTGTGTGTGTGTGTGTGTGTGTGTGTGTGTGTGTGTGTGTGTGTGTGTGTATGTATATATATATATATATGTAATATTGTAATCCTTACTATGTGTTTGTGCTTGATACTCAACTTCTGGAGTTCAAATAATAGCCTATTTTTAAATACTCTTACTTGAGTGTTCTATCAACAGTTTGGAAAGGTTTTTTTATTAGTGCATATATATATATATATTTTTGTTTGTTTGTTTGTTTTGTTTTGCTTTGTTTTTTGTTTTTTGTTTTTTTTTGTATCGGGAATTGAACTTGGGTCCTTGCACTTGCAAGGCAGGCCACTGAACTGCTGAGCTAAATCCCCAGCCCTATTAGTATATATTTTTGATGAATAATGATTATATTTATCATGGGGAGTTGATACATATACATAACACTTCTTACTTCTGTTCTTCATTCCCTCCTCCTCCCATCCTTCCTTACTACTTCCAACTCTTGATCTCCTTCCCATTTAAAAAAGCTCTATTTCCATTTTGTTTTCTTTAATTCCTTTTTTTCCTTCCCTTCCTGTCTCATTTAATCTGTCATTCCCTTTCCCAGTTGATAAAGATCTCCCTACTTCCTATTTTCTTTTATTTTGTTCTTTATTTATATTTTGGATTTCTCATTAAGAGAAACCATGTGATATTTAAGCTTTTGTGTCTGATTTATTTCACTTAATATTATGGCCTCAAAATGCATTCATTTACCTACAAATGCAAATTTATCCTTCTTTATGGTAGAGTGGTGCTCTGTTGTGTATAAATACCACATTTTCTTTATCTGTTCATATGTTGATAAGCAGATAGGCCATTTCCAAGATTTTGCTATTATGTATTTTGCTGATATAGGGAAAAGTTATTCCTGACTGGAACTCTGAACCCATTTCACATTTATCAGTTTGCCTTCATCTGCTGAATCCATTGTGAGTTTCCTCTATAACATGATACAATGCTATCTTTTTGTCCCTACTAATTAACAAAGTGTTAAGTGCCAGCATATAGCAGGTAACAGTAAGCTATGCATGTTTATGGAATGAATAAAAGAACTAAGAACAGAAACTAAACTAATTCTTAATTGTCATATTTTTAAGAAAAAGATACTGTATTCTTAGAAGGTAATAGCACCTCATATTTCTAAGAATCAGGAAATGGGGCTTCTGAGAAAACTAGAAACAAACCTAGGAGAGTATGGCCTCTAGGAAGATATTGTAATATGAAAAACACATTAAAATTTTGCATGTTTTATCTCTGTGGTTGGGGAGTGTAAAATATAAATTCTAGCTATTCTGAAGCTTTTCTTCTAACTAAACAATATATTAAACAGGGGTGGACTGGCAGAAAGATTAAATGGACTGCAAAATCGAGAGAGATCTGCCATTTCTTTGTGGAGACATCAGTGTGTTTTGTATCAAAAGACTCTTTCAGGTAAGGCTTATATAGGCATCTGAGTAGTTTGAAAACATTTCAGTTAAAAATTTTTATATTACAATATTTGAAGCATATCACTATTGCTTTCATGACTTTAAAAAACTTTCTCCTACATTTTGTGACATACTAAAATGGTATAAAATTGTTTATAATTTGTTTTTTAATTTTAAAATTTTTATTAGTACATGTTTTGTAGTACATAATGATTGCATTCATTGTGGATGAATTTGTACATGTACATAACACATTTTGCCAGTAACAGGTTTATTTGTCTTATAAGTCCTTAGAAATTTAATTACCATACATAGAGGTTAACAAGTAGACCAATAGGCCAAAAAACATAAAGCACACAAGACAATTATACTAAATCAAGGCACACTTTTAGATACATTATCCATGCTGGATTACAATAACTTTATCTGTCTCTCTCTCTCTTCCTATTAACTGTTTTTATTTTATTATCTTTTTATTTTGCAGTTTATTTATATATTGAGTTTCTTATAAAAGAAACCATGTGATATTTAGGCTTGTGTGCCTGATTGATTTCACTTAACATTATGTTCTCAAAGTGCATTCATTTTCTTACAAATGACCTGGTCTATCCTTAATGGCAGAGTAATACTCTATTGTATATAAATACCACCTTCCCTCCCCTCCCCTCCCCTTCTTCCAGGGATTAAACTCCGTACCTTGTGCTTGCAAGGCAGACACAATGCCGCTGAGCTAAATCCCCAGCTCTATGCCACATTTTCTTTTTTCATTCATCTCTTGGTGGACACATAGGCTGCTTCCAAGATTTAGCTATTATGAATTGTGTTACTATAAACATGGGAATGCATACATCATTATAGTATGACATCTTTTGGGAAGACACCTCAAGAGGGAACAGCTGGCTCCAGTTGAATTTCTGTCTTTAGTTTTTGAGGCATTGCCATAGTGGTTGTATGAGTTCACACTCCCACCAATGGAGAAGAGTTACTTTTCCCCATATCTTGCCAGCATTTGTTTTTGGTTGATTTCTTGATAATAACCATTCTTTCTGGAGTGAGATGGAATCTTGGTGTTTTAATTTCTCATGGCAAGCAATGTTGAACAGTTTTTCATGTATTTATTAGCTGTTTGAATTTCATCTGAGAAGTGTCTATGCATTTCAGATGCCCATTTCTGCATTGAGTCTTTAAATTTGGGGGGGGTCTAATTTTTTTTTCTTTTTATTGAGTTTATTGGTACAATCTAGGTATACAATACAGTTACATCCATCATTGGGATTCTGTACCTTTACGTAATAGGTCTTGATTCTCATTTTTTCCCCTTGTCCCTGCCCTCCCTTCACCTCCTCCCCTCCCCATTTACAAACACTTCGTTTCCATTTTTTCAGTTTCTCATATTTTTTTTCCTCTCCCTTATTACCTTTCCCCCACCCTCCCACTTTCCCTACACATTTAGCCCTTTACTTCCTATTTCACATTATTAATTATCTCATCAGGGTCCTGTGTACTATTATAGTTTTTCACACCAAAGAAACTATTCGGTATTTCAATTAAAGAAATCTCTGTATGAACATTAAAAATAGGGAATCCTAAAATAAAACTAAAAAGGAAAGTAAAAGAGAAAAGGCAATGATGTTACATTAAAATAATCCTTAATTCTGGAGATGAGAATGGTCCCTGAACATATTTAAATTGCTTCTCGCTCTTATAGTCTTATCTTATTCTTTTTTTCATTATTTAGAGAATACTTTATTAGTTTCTGTAATCAAACCCACGTAGATATGACCGTACATATTTAGTATGATGTGTTACCCCTGTACACATGGAAAAAAATAAAAAATAAAAATAAAAAAAATTAACATTTCTAGACCAATATGGTTGTCCATTTCTGTACAATGCCAACTCAACACAGTAAATTGGGATGACTTTTTCCAAAGTTGGCAGCACCGTTAAAGTTTCCCAAAATTCAATTTATATACACACACACACACACACACACACACACATATATATATACATACATATATATTTATATAAAAAGACTAATAATAGTATGTTATGCATTGATAGCAGCAACAGCTTTTCCAGGTTCTGCAGTCATCTGAACAAAATTATAGACATTCAGCACATTCCATTAAAAAAAAAAAAAAAAAAAAAGAATAATATCCAGAAAACAGCAAAGTTCTGTTGCTGTTGTGGTACCTGGCACCATTTTTTCTATTAGCCTCTTAATCATCATCTGGAAAGAGAACATTCTAGAGTAATATCATTAAATGTAGCTCTGATAAAGCACGGTCCCTACTATGTATCATAAAGCAGGTACTAGATATTTTACATTCATAGAGGTATGATACAGTACTGTCCTACATCAATAATACTAGATTCAGTTTTGGTTTGAAATTTACTTTGTCTGCAAATAAGATTGCTACCCCTGTTTTTTTCTGGGCTCCTGTCACATGGAGAATTGTTTTCTATCTTTTCACTTTCAGTCTATGGGCTTCTTTTTGCACTAGGTGTGTTTCTTGTATACAACATATTATTGGATTTTGCTTCTTATTCCATTTTGCCAGTCTATTTCTCTTGATTGGTGAGTTGAGGCCATTGACATTGCTGGTTATAACTGATATGTACTGACTTATTATTGACATGTTATTGGCCTTTTGTTGACTCTTTTTACTTTTTCACCTTCTCCTTTTAATTTCTTGCCTTGCCTATTTGATTTGCTCTGTTGGGCCTCATGGTGTTGTTGCCTTCATTGTCTTTTTCTAGGATCTTGTTTAGAATTGCTTGTAGTGCTGGTTTGGTATTCATGTAGTTTCTCAGGTGTTCTTTGTCGTGGAAGTGTCTTATTTCCCCATCCATTTTGAAAGAGAGTTTTGCTGGATACATCAGTCTAGGTTGGAGGTTGTTCTCTTTTAGTACTTGAAATATCTCATTCCAGGCTCTCCTTGCCCCAAGGGTTTGTGTTGAAAAGTCTGCTGTGATTCTGATGGGCTTTCCTTTGTATGTGATTTGTTTCTTTTCTCTTACTGCTTGTAGTATTTTGTTCTTCTGTTGGGTTTCTGGGATCTTGATTATTATATGTCTAGGTGTAGATTTTTTTTTATTGTAGCTAGTTGGGGTCCTGTATGCCTCAGTTATCTGACTGTCAAATTCTTCCCCTCTGTTTGGGAAGTTTTCTGTCATTAATTCTGCAAACAGCTTTTTTAAGTCATTTGTATTTTCTCCTGCTACTTCATGTATTCCTATCAGTCTTATGTTATTCTTCTTTGCATCATCTAGGAGTTGTTGGATCGATTTCTCATGATCTCTTACTGTTTTTAAGAGACCTCTCTTTTCATGGTCACTGACTGCAATCTTATCTTCTATATCTGAGAGCCTATCTTCGCATTCTTTTATTCTGTTGCGTACACTTTCAATAGAGTGTTTAATCTCCTGGATATCTGTTTGAATCTGTTTTATGGATTCCATTTCTTTCCTATGTTGGGCGTTTATTTTTTCCATTTCTTTCTTATGCTGGGCCTTCATGGCTTCTATCATGGTCCTGAGCTCATCTATTTTTTTGTCAGTTTCTGCTCTAGAGTCTCGAATCACGACTTCCATTTTGCTCACTATCTCTATGGTTATCTGGGAAATTATTTCTGTTTTGAATTTTTCTAGATACTGATTGATCTTTTTTGTTACTTCCTGTGCTTTGAGTTCAGGGTGTCCTGGTGGTTCACTATCGGTCTTTTCATCCTCATTTGCCCTACTGTTTGCCATTGGTGAACTGGAAGTCTGTCCTTGTGTCTTGCTTAAGTGTTTTCTCATTTTAATTTTTGTTGTGGGACTGTCCTTGGTCTAATCTCTGGATTATCACCCACATCTTCCTGATATAGTTGCACCCTAGCTTCTGTGTCTCTAGCGATCCACAGACATTCTCATCTTCATAACATCAGAGAAAACAGCTCATCAAATCAACGGCAATGCTTTACCCAACTGATGCAGTCAGCCACACATTAAGATCAAGCACAACTTGGACACTGACCACCTGTGGTAGTCACTAGTCTATCACCCTTAAATCATTTGAATTAAATTGAAATCAAGAAGCAGTCCAGAACATGTCTGCAGTAAACAAAATTTCAATATAGTGTATTTACCATTTAATGGCTCAGACAGAGCGAGGATGCAAGACCCCTGATCTCAGTTAGCTGATGGCTGAACCCCCTGATGCTGACTGACCTCAGGCTGCAAGGCCCAGATTGAGTTCCCCAAACTTCTGAATGGTTGAACTCCACAACGTTCTATTACAGGTTTCCCACGCCCTTTCTTTAAAGATGTTCAAAGTTGGGAACTCAGAAAAATACCCTTGATGGCCACCTCTGTCTTTGCAGAGTGGGTCCAAAGACTTGCACAGTCAGGAGGTCTGAGAGTGTGTGGGGGGAGCTTATGAGGGTTCAGGGGCGCCCGCGCGGTTACCTTTCTGGCACTTTACCGATGGCGGCTGGGTTGGGAGCAGGCGTGGCTCTCCTTCCCGTGGTGGATCGTGGTGGATCGGGGCCCAGGCTGCCTCCCCGAGTTTGAGCGATGGCCCTAATTTTTTTTAATTCCTTTATTTCTAGATAATAGTCTTTTGCCTGAGAAGTAGCTGGAAAATTTTTTTTCCCTTTCTGTAGGTTATCTTTTCACTCTATTGGTGGTTTCCTTTTAGTGGTATAGGTGGTAGGGGCAATCTGCTCTAGGTGGCACATTTTTTGGGCAGCATCTTAGTTACTTTTCTTGTTGCTGTGACAAAATACCCAACACTCAAAGTTAAAAGAGGAGAGGGTTTATTTAGCTCACAGTTTGTAGAGGTTTCCTTCCACAATCAGCTGGCTCCAAGGCAGGGTGGCACATGGCAGAGGGGCAACAGTTCATGATGGAGGAAGATAGCAAAGGCAACAAGGAAACTTAAAAGGCATCTTTCTGCCCCTTTTATCTTATTTAGACAATTAAGGATGAATAGCACTCACACCCTTAATCCTAGTG